TTGGATTATTTATTGGAAGGTCTAGAAAAAGGTTTAGCCCCTAATACCCTTCGCAGGCAAGTCGCGGCTTTGTCTACAATCCTCTCATGCGACTCTGCTGAATCACTGGGTCATCATCCTTTGGTAAGGTCGTTCCTTAAGGGAGCCTCCAACCAACATCCTCCTGTGGTACATAGATACCCCTCGTGGGAGTTGTCAAGGGTGCTTCGGGCTATTACCAAATCTCCTTTTGAGCCCCTCAGGACATGTGACATTCGTTCTCTGTCCCACAAAGTGGCCTTCCTGGTGGCTATCACCTCTGCTCGTCGCATTTCGGAGCTGGCGGCGCTTTCAGTGAGGGATGACTTATGTGTTTTTCAACAGGATAGGGTTACCCTTCGGTTAGACCCTACCTTCGTTCCGAAGATCAATTCCCTATTCCATAGGGCACAGGAGATAGTACTGCCTGATTTCTGCCCCAACCCGTCGCATGGGTTGGAGCGAGAATGGCATTGTTTGGATGTCCGCAGAGCCCTTAAATATTATATTTCACAGACTGCGAAGTTCAGGAAATCGGAAGCCCTCTTTGTATCTTTCCACGCGTCCACCAAGGGTCGGAAAGTGTCCTCTTCCACTGTTGGAAGATGGATAAAGGAGTGCATCGCCGAAGCCTATAAGGCTGAGTCGTTGCCGGTTCCGCGGGGGGTGACCGCCCACTCCACACGGAGCACGGCTACTTCAGCGGCATGGGCCACTCAGGCTTCCATCGAAGAAGTCTGCAAGGCAGCCACTTGGGCTTCGCCTTCTCCTTTCATTAGGCACTATAAAATTGATAAATTTGCCTCTGCTGAGGCTTCATTCGGTAGGAGAGTTCTCCAACAGGTTTTACTCCAAAGTGCCACTCGGGACCAGTCTACTACCCACCCTCAGGGACAGTAGGCTTTGGTATGTCCCAATGGTGGAGTCTCCATCTCAGTGCTGGAGAAGGGGCGTTGTCTTACCTGAACGCCTTTTCTCAGCACGGAGATGGAGACTCCACCTCCCTCCCTTGTACATTTTGTATAAGCATAGGGCCAGTTAGTTTGGTGAGCCACAACGTCTTGC